CATTTTTTAATCCACGTTGCAGCTTGCTGTTTCATTGCTGTCTGTAATAGTTGTTTCAACTGCAATACCTGCTGATCAGAACTTTCGCTGAGAGCATCCACACAAAATTATTGAACGTGTTCATCTACACAATTATGTGCACAGATAAAAAAAACATTTTTTTAAAAGTTGGAGGAAGTCATGCTTCACTCTGGGCATGCAACAATCTGGGTGCGCTTCATTGGGGCTTCTCCACACCATAGCTCCTCAGATGTGAAAAATACAGTGAAGGTGGACTCATCAGACAACAATACATGTTTCACATTGTCTACAGCCCAAGATTTACACTGCTGTCATCATTGAAACAGGTTTGGCATTGACAAGAGTGATCAAAGGTTTGGCTATAGCAGCCTGGCCATATATATTGACCTATATTGACCCTTTGGAGAACAGTTTTGGTGGAAACCCAAATGTTGAGAAGATACACATTTAAAATTCAGCAAGTTGAGCAGCTGTGCTTTTATTTATTGATCTTTATTTTTTAATAGAATCTGGGTTAGCTCTAGGCATGGGCCCATGTCAGATTTTAATAGTATGATAACCTTGGACAAAAATATCATGGTATTGTGATGACTGCTCTAAAATATACTCTTTTTAAATGTCTGGGTAGAAAACAAAAACTATTTCCCCTTTAAAAACAATATATTTTATTTTTGAAAGATTTAAAATATTCTGAAGCAGTAAAAATGTCAGACTAAATAATGAAAATAAATCATTGTCTTCTGTCTTCATTAGTTTCAAAAACATTTCAATTTACACAGTGTCTTTGGATATTTTTTCTGCTGAAGATACTATTGTCCTAAAAATGTAAATAAAAAATTGTACACACCTTACAGAACATTTTGGCAGTTTTAAAACCTTGAATTTTCCAAACCGATACCTTGAAAACGGTTATCATCCCATGCCTATAGCGCCTGGACATCTCTTTCTTACAGCTTCCTCCTGCATCCACAGTGGATGTGGATTGTCCTTCTTAGTGATATTTTGTCACTACGCAGGATACCATGGCTCTTATCATATCACAAAGATGTGCTGCTTTTGAATTCTAATATGTCACCCATAATATTGTGTGCATTGTAATAATTTAAGTGAAACTGCTATTACTCTAATAATTAAACCTTCACACTGCTCTCACTGGTGGCAATCAATAAAGATTGGGCAAATTTAGCCATGAAACCTCCAACACTAAATTGGCCATGGTTTTGTATACTTTTGACTAAAGTGACAGTGGTGTATTGGATCATAAAATAGACAGCAAAATGGATTACAGTACGGGCGATTTGTTTATATTAGGTGCATCTGCATAAAATACAATAAACAATCTACAAGCAGAGATAAATACAATAAAACTTATAGAAATGAAATGAACAGAGCTTTATTGTTTTCCAATGAGTCTAACACAGGTAGAGTAATTGAATAGAATGTAAAATAATACCGCTATAGTCTTCATTTTATTAATAATGAAATAAATTAGCTTTTTATTAAAGTTACAAACGCTGCAATTTACTAGACCTGAATGCTTTTAAAATCCTCTTACAGTCACAGGCCTCAGAAACACAAGCAAATGATAAACTATAATCCAGACTCAACATGACGATGGTGTTTAAAACAGTATTTACTACAAATGACTATAGTATAGTTTTTTTTTTTTTTGTTGTTTGTTTAATTTGGGATCATACTGCTAATTATATTTATCCAATGTCATAAGGCAAAAAAGTCAACTTTACTTCGTCTTTCAGTTTTCCTCCACTAGAGGTCACTGTGATAATCAGATTCTCCACAGGTCTGATTCTTTCAGCTCCCGCCGGGTTCAGTGGCGCGCGCCTGTAATCCAAGCTGCTAGGAGGCTGAGTCTGCGGATCGCTTGAGCTCAGGGCTTCTGGGCTGCAGGTGACTATGTTGATCGGGTGTCCGCACTAAGTTCGGTATCGATATGGTGCTCCTGGGTGAGCTCGGGACCGCCAGGTCGTTTAAGGAGGGGTGAACCGGCCCAGGTCGGAAACGGAGCAGGTCAAAGCACCCGTGCCTATCAGTAGTGGGATCGCGCCTGTGAATAGACACTGCAGTGCAGCCTGAGCAACACAGAGAGACGCAGACTTTTACATTAGTTTTTTTTTTTTACTTTGATTTGTCTTTCTAAATGTAAAACTGAAGAAATAAAGATTTAGAGATGTATGATGACTATGCATTATTAATAGTAAGTAATAATTAAAAGTTTACTAGCAGACTTCAGAAAGTTTATTTGTAAACAAAAATACAAAAATCATCTCAATTTCATGTCTATATTTTAAAAATATGCCTTAGACAGAAATATATTGAATTTAATTGAAAATATATCAAATTAAAAAATATATATATAGAGAATAATTTTACTTTAAACATAAATGGCACATTATAATTTTTGACCCCATCAGAAACAAAAGTAACACACGGGTAGGTCACAACCAGATTTACTGGCTTCATCATGTTTGTTTTAATTATATCTGACTATGACATTGTTAATTATTTTTTAATACCACCTGATATTGACGGCGAAAAAGCTTCCAGTACAAAACGGCATTTTTATTAATAAATTAGTTATAGAGTATTATGCCAAATGCAGTTTTAATCTAGAAAGTTTTGTTTAATAAAATAGAGGAGGGGGATATATTTAAGAAATTAATAACACTTAAAAATAGTAAAGCAACAGGGTTAGATAATATTCCAGTGCAGTTCCCTCAAAGACTCCCTAAATGCGTCACTCCGATGGTTACACATATTATCAATTTTTCTATTTGTCAATGTAAAGTTGAAAAAAGCAAGAGTTATTCCTATTTTTAAGAAAGGTAGTAGGTTTGAGGTTAATAATTCTAGGCTGGTATCAATTTTGAGTGCTTTGTCAAAAGGGAGGGAAAAAGTTATTTATTAGCACATTGAAAAATATTGTTTAAAATGTGACGTATAAAAAAAAAGCTGAAAAAGCTTTCAATACAGTCGATCACAGGATATTGATTTTAAAAGTAAAGGCAATGGGTTTTGGTGTTTTGGCCTGTAAATGCATGAAGTCTTAACTTGAAAACAGATGTCAAATAGTAGATTTAAATGGTGTGTTTTCAGATTATTCGACCGTTTCTTATGGGGTTTCACAAGGCAGTGTTTTAGGTCCTTTGCTTTTTTAATATACATCAATGATTTGAAAATGGCCTGTTCAAAAAAGCTTTTGTTAAATGCGGATGATGCAGCAATAATTGTGTCTCATGAGAGGAAGGAATTTATTGAAAATGAAAAAAGTAAACAAACTGAGGAAGTCTCTAAATGGATTAACCTTAATAAATTGTCCTTACACTTGTGTAAACCAGAATTTATTTTATTTGGTTCAGCTGCGAAACTGAGAAAATGTGTCAGATCAGAGGTAAAAGTAGAGCATCAAATTAATGAACCCAAACATGAAGGGAAATATTTAGGTTGCATCTCAGACAGTAATTTGACAGGTGAGAAGATGGCTGTTATAGTCCAATCTAAAGTTCTAAAATTAAGTTTTTAGCAAGACAGACAGAGCTCTTAGATTTCCAAACTTTAAAAATATTGGCTAGTGCATTCGTGCAGTCATACTTTGACTATGCTGCTGTCTTTTGGTACAGCAGTAGTTCCACAAAAATGGAAAATAAATTGCAGACGGCCCAAAATAAGTTGCAGAATTGTTATCAAAGTACTTCTACTGACACATTTAAATAATGAATATTATAGTCAAATTAATTTATTAAAAGTTGGAAAAAGAGTCACTTTTCTGAAATTGGTGATGGTGTTTAAGATTTTAAAGAAAATGGTCCCAAAATATTTACTTATTAAGTTTTAGTTAGTGAGGTACACTGTCATTCTACAAGAGCGAGTAGCAGGGGTATTTGTCCTTGTAGATTTAAGAGTGAAACAGGTAGAAAGTCTTTCTGTGTACTGTTGCTTGGAATATACTGCCGAGGAGTTTTAAAGAGATTCAATTTGAAAGTTTTTAGAGAGGAAATTAAAAAATGGCTGTTTTACGGTTGAAGTTGAGGATTTTTGTTGTGCTGAGTTTCTGACCTGATGATGTTTGCACTTTATGATTTGCTCGTTCATTTTTTAAGAATATCGATGACCACGATGGAAATCAGCCTGTGGCTTTTTGTGTATTTTATCCTCGACAGTTTTTAAGATATGAATGTCAAACTGGACTTGTTTGTATATTTTTGTTAAAATTGTTAAATAAAATCAATCAATCAATTTATTCATTCATTTTCCTTTAGCTTAGTCCCTTTATTAATCTGGGGTCGCCACAGCGAAATGAACTGCCAACTTATCCAGCATATGTTTTACACAGCGGATACCCTTCCTGCTGCAACCCAGTACTGGGAAATATCCATACACCCTCATTCACACACATACACTATGACTAATTTAGCTTATTCATTCACCTATACAGCACATGTCTTTGGAGCACCCAGAGGAAACCCACATGAACACGGAGAGAGCATGCAAACTCCACACAGAAATGCCATCTGACCCAGCCGGGACTCCCACCAGCGACCTTCCTACAGTGAGGCCTTATATATAAAGAAATCTATTTGCTTAAGTCAGCTGAACAGTAAACAACAACAGCAATAGAAACCACCAAAGGACACCATATGAACACAGCCAAAATGACTTATTAGAGCATGCACATCTTTGTCATTCCAATGGATTTTTAAAAATATGTACATGCCGCCTTTTCTTCCAGGTTTCTTGAACTTTTCCCCTTTATGAGGAAAACTATTGAATACTATAAAAGCTGTTCAGCGTTTTTTTTTTCTGATTAACATTTAATAGACTTTAACTAAAAGTTTTAGATTCTGAGCAGGACAGCACACTGGTTCTCCCCCAGCATGTTTGTTCATCATTTCTATCTTAATGTGTTGATCATTTTCTTTTGTGTTTCTGTATTGTGTGAAGGTCACCCAGTCCACAGTTTATGCTGCTATAATCTTTATTCAGTTTTATTCATAAACTATGTACAATATATACACTGTGCTCACGTCGGCTCCAGGTCTCTTGGGTGAAGGTCTCTCAGTGACGTGGTCTCTTCTGGTCGCCATGCATCTCTGGTGAAGATGGGGAGCGGGAACGTTTCCCTCTGGCGTCCTGGACTGAAGATGCTGCACCAGCTGAGGAAGAGGAGGACAGCGGCTTGGTCTGGCAGGAGAAGGACGGCCTCTTTTTCTTCTCAGCAGCATAGGCCTCACTGAACAGATCGAGCGCAAACACACACAAGCAGACATAAAGTGAGATTTTCACAAACACTAAAACATGCTGCAATGCCAAGTACAGTTTACTCACGCATCTATGATGGGAATGACGTATTTGCCGCTGCCGTCCATCATGACTCCCTTTCGGTTTGGGTCGTCCACCTCCAACAGGAAGCTGCGTGGAATCCCTGTGCTCCTCCTGATGCGCTTATGCGGAGCAGAGCTGCTGCCCTGTGAATTCATGAGTGACAGTCAAACGACAGAGTAAACAATCTGACTGATGGAGACAAGAGCTCAAGTTCACAGCAACCATAAGCTTAGAAAACCCAGTTACCCCTTTAGAGGGGCAGTGCCTAATGTGGTGTCCTGGGATCCCACAGTGAAAGCAGACATAGTTGGGTGGAAGAAGCCCAAGCAGTGTCATGGCCTCACTGATGAACATCAGAACCATGAGAATCAGCTCTAACATTTCTCCCATAACCAAACCTGTCAGTGTCTGAACGCTCACCTGCTGGAGTAGTAGCACAGACTGGACTGGTACATCACCGCTTTTAGCTTGTCCTCCTCTGATGCCTGTGCCTCAGCCAGATTCTCAGTCTGTTTCACAGGCATTTGCACATTAGAATTTTATTTCACTGATTTGCTCTAAATAAACACCTTCAAATCTCCCTAAGAAGCTGTGTGTGTTTGTGTGTGTGTGTTTGTGTGTATTGTTGTTTGCTAAACACTGCGTATTGATATTCTGCACTACATGTCATTATGACGCCTCAAATGCAAACACTGCAGTTCAATACAGAGCAGCACTGGGGGGTGAATAAATAATTTGTTCAATACCTTCAACAGCTGCTCCAGTGAGAGGAGTGAAGAATCACCTGTTTGAGAAGATTTGGCTGATGGTCCAGCTTGATGTCTGCAAAACAAAGGAGCTTGTGTGACTAAAACACCACAGACAGACTCAAACTCTTGATTCAACATCTATCAGAGGATGATTGCGCTCATTTCACATGACTTACCCAACAAATCTTCTGTTGGAGGACTTCAGTCCAGCCGCAGGGACCCGTCTGATGATGACCGACGTGTTTTTGGGGATGAGAGCATCATCATCTGTGTATTCTGACACCAAAATAAAGTTTGAATATAGCAATAATCATTTACCATGGTATACTTTGAGCGCCATTAGCATTTTAAAACACTCAGAACATCACTATATGTCACCATCAGAGTCATGATAACACATGTCAGCTTCTACAAGTCTGTCTGATAACACATCTAATGTTAGTGTAGTATAGTTTAAGTGGCTTTTCCTCATCTCACCTTCATCAGTTTGGGCTTTGCTGATCTTCAGCTGGCAGAACTTCAGCCTCTCGCGCCTCATGATCTGCCGCTTCAGCTCTCCCACAGTGATGTTGAGGCCCTCAAACTGGAGCGAGTCGTGGGTGAGTCGACTCTGAAACCTGTAATGAACACAAGACATACTGAACACAAAACACAGTGTGATAGCAAGGGTCAAACCTGAATGAAGGGAGCAGCAGGCGATCAATCGATGTATCCAACGATCAATAATATCAATAGTCTGCGAATAAGTTGCCACGAAGAACGCCGAGATCAGATGCCAATGACAGAGCGAAGTTCAAAACAACACAAAAAGAACCGTTGCCAAGGATGCTGACGATCACGTGACGAGGCGCTAAAAAACTTCCGCGTTATTTTCTCATTAATAATATTGAAATCATTACTATGATAATAATAAAATAAACAGCAGAACAGTTGGACATCTCTGAATAAAACACAGCAGCGTTTCCGTACACGAATGATTCTGGCCTTTGTAAAGAGTCGGGCGAGTCAATGAATCAGTGATTCGTGGCTGAATGAATCACTCAAAGCATCACTCGATTAAAGCGGTCTCTTGCTGCCACCTATTGGCGATTTGTTTTTCCGTTTTTAAAGTATTTTAACACTTTTTTTAAGGCACCTTCAAATGTATTTTCTACTAAAGTTCATATCCGTTAAAAATGATTTAAAACTCTCTAAGCTCATCATTTCTTGATGCGTTTATAATGTTAATATAAATCCATTCATGTTTGTGTTTGATCTTCATTATGTGTTAAAATCAATACAATATTAAAGTTGCATTATCTAAATCCAAATTTTAGTTCAAAGCTTTATTATACAGCAATATTTCTATACATTTCTATAAAGATACTGTCTATTTGAGTCAGAAGATTTTCTGTGTGTGTGTGCGTGTGTGTGTGTGTGTGTGTGTGTGTGTGTGTGTGTGGCAGTGGATTACAGTAAATGTAGAAGTGATCAGAAGTGTGTGATATTTATTGTCTCGCGCCACTGAACCCGGCGAGAGCTGAGAGAATCAGAGCTGTGGAGAATCTGATCATCACAGCGACCTCTAGTAGAGGAAAAATTAATGCTGAAGTAAATTTGACTTTTATTGGTCTTATGGCACTGAATAAAAATATTTGTCCCAAATAAAAAAATAATATAGTTATTTATAGTAAAGACTATAGTGTTTTGGGACCACACAGTAAAGTTCATTACACTGTATAATATAAAAAACAAACATTTGTGCTTTATTTAAAGGTCAAGTCAGGTTTACTGTTGTATAGCTGCATGACAATGGATAAAAAAAACTAATAAAAACACACATCTAGAAGACAAGAGTAAGCAGTAAAGTACACTGAGAAAAGGTGTTCAATTGCTGTTTTTTTGCATTAACAAAGAGTCATAAACACAATTTTACGCAAATGTATAATTTATAAAATATGTAATGAATAATACATATAGAATTAATATTTTCATAACTAAATTATTTATAATGTGTCATTTAACAGTAAAACATCTTGTCAAATAGGCCACAGTATACATCAGGAAATGAAAAGCTTTTAAATGACAACAGAAAAGCAGTTCAGCGACTAACATTCACTCATTCAGTGATATCTCATTTATTCATTCATTCACTAATTAAGTCAATACCTTTTCAGTCACTAAATATGGTGTCAGATGCAGATGTGGCCTCTATCAGTGTAATGTAATCTACATCTTATATTGTACAATGACCCTGATCTGTTGGTTGCAGATTAATAATCACAAACATAATTTTCTATTCATAAAAGCTAAAAACTTATTTAGTGTCAGAGAGTACAAAGTGATTTTATTTTACCCTCTAATATTGCAACTGTTTAGTCTTTAGACCAAAGAGTTTGTGGTTTTTAATCTGTGTTGTTGCTGCTTTATTTCATCACCTCAGTGTTAGTGTGCAATTCAGAATAATGTGCAGCTAAAGATGAAACAGTCTATCAATTCATGCCACAGACTGTGTGAGATTCTCTCAAGTCTTATATTGAAAGCACTGATGGTCACAACCGCATCTGACACCACAGTTAGTATCTCAGCAAGGGTTAAATGATCATTGTTTATCTCAGTTAATGATTAGTTATTCACGATAAGGAGCAGGTATTAAAGTGGAAGATTAAACCATTAAAGTTGTACTTTTTCAGAGGTTCACTGTTTGCACACTTAATCTTAAATGGATAGTTCACCGCATAATTATGATTGTGAAAATCCTAAATTTAAATTTTTGACTGAAATATCTCTTAGCTGCACAATATTTCAGCATCGATATCTCAATGCGATCATTCACAAAACTGGGTCAGTTGTCATTTTTGTGTGAAGTTTGCATGTTCTCCCCGTGTTTGCAAGACATGCGGTATAGGTGAATTAAATAAGCTAAACTGCCCGTTGTGTATGGGTATGAATACAAGAGTGTGTGGGTGTTTCCCATTGGGTTGCAGCTGGAAGGGCATCTGCTGCGTATGCTGAATAAATTGGTGATTCCTTCTGCTATAATTCCCCAGATTAATGAAGGCACTAATCCAAAATGAAAATGAATGAATGAATGAGTCTAGATTATAGTTTAGCCTTTGCATATGTTATGAGGCCTGTGACTAAAAAAGGAACTTAAAAGCATTCAGGACTAATAAATTGCACATTTGTAATTTTAATAACAAAATAATTTATTTTTATATTTATAAAATGAAGACTATAACGGTATTATTTTACATTTGATTTTCAAAATGCTGTACCTAATGACTGTTAGACTCCTCACAAAACAATAAAGCCCTGTTCATTTCATTTCTACAATTTTTTCATTGAATTTATCTCTGCTCATAGACTATTATAATTTATGCAGATGCACATCTATCATAAACAAATCACCCATTTTGTATTTTTTCTACAGCTATATGTATTATGATACAATAAACCACTTTTACTTTAGTAAAAAAAATAAAATATACCAC